TTTTCTCTCTTTCTTTCCGCCGCACGCGGATTGACTTTCCATGGCGCGTCCTCGTCTTTCCCTTGTATAAATTAGTCCCAGTCGCCACATAATGGCGTGTCGATGCGCTACTGTCCCCCGGACAGTTAGCCCCCCCTCCCCCGCCGCGTCCCTCCTTTTTACTTCTACCCTTTCAGTTTTTTCTTAATTTGCCTTTTCTCTCGTCTGCTAATACCTCCTGCTTCCTCTCTGTCTCTCCTCCGCTCCATTCGCTCAGCGTCCATTCGCATCCCCCCTCGGTGTATCTGGTCTTTTTTCTGCCGCTCATTCATCTCTCTTCCTCTCTAGGTCCCTCTCCGATCCTCAGCCGGCACCATCCTCCCGCTTTCTTCATCGTCCGCCGCTCGTCAGACCGGCCGCTTAATTTACGACCAATTAATTTGGATAAACTGAATGAGTGGAGCCCTGCTTTCGATGCACGCGTTAACCGTGAATATTTCCCCCCTGCCGCCTCCTCCTCTCTCTCTTTCTCTCTCGCTCGGGCGGAGCCTTCCGGCCTTCCACCTTGTTCGCCACGTATGCGTCTCCGCGCGCCGGCTCGTTTCGAGTCTCCTCTACGGGCGCCTCTGACTCTGTAACGCCTGCGAAGTTATGAAAAAAGAAAAGACGCAGCGCGCAGCGTTCTCTTTTATTATCGAGTGAGAGTGAGGGCCACGAAACCGCGAAAACGTACACGCGCGATCAAAGGGCGAGCGCCCTCCGTCGCACTTCATCTTTTCCCCTCCCCTCGTTCATTCTTCACGGTCTTCACTTTGTGAAATTCCTCGTGCCTTTGTGTCTAACGTATAGATACTGATTATATTATTATTATTATTATTATTATATTATTTAATTTAAATATCAATCATTTTACTATTATTATTATTACAATATATTATTTATTACTATAAGTAAATTAATTATATTATTTATATTATTAGATGTATAAATTATTATTACTGGATAAACTTCTAAAAACCACTTACGCCCCATTGCTACCAATTTTAACTAAAATACATCCAAACGATGTCAAAAAAAGTCCCCAAAAGGATTTTTATTGGAAAATAGGTTTAATGAAAAAAATATTTAAATAATATTATATATCACTGTTATTATTGTACTACTTTGCCAGATAAAATTAAATAAAAATTTATCTAAGATATTCTTTTTTTTTAATAATAAATAAATGTCTATTAAATTCCTGCCTTAATGAGTTAAATTAATGAGTCTATGGTGTATTAAAATAATCTAACCTAACCTAACTTGTATCACAGCGATAAATATAAGATTCATATATTTATATCGCTTATAATGCACAAAAATCATCGATGACTTACAGTCGTAAACTTTCTATTCAGATCCTGTAAACAAATATACAATCACTGCACGTAGACTTATCTGAGGAAGTAAGCTGACGTTATAACAGCAATATATAATGTTATTTAAATATTTTTAGTAGAGGAGAAGGTAGTATTGTGGCTCTCTATTCACGTTTTGTACAATAACTTTGTCAATAATCAATATTTGAAAATGATAACTGAGTGATTACATTTATCACAGTGTTGTTTAATCGATTATAGACTCAAATTTACGTAATGTTCATTACTTGGGAGGTTACTTATAAAAATGTGGCAACATAGCATAATGGGTCAACGAGAAAGTGGGGTGGTGTAATGTCGCCTCCCACTAAAACTGATACAAAAAATTAATTTTGTTTAAAATAACACAAAGTGTTTAGTAACGAAATTATACATTTATTCAAATTGATCTTAGAAGGAGAATAATAATGAATATAATTGAATGCTAAAATGTATCGTGTAAAACATTTCGAAATGCTCGAAAGTAAAAATGCGTTATTAAAAGTGCTAGCTATTGCGTATTGATATATTAACGCCACTGCGCTAACTACTAAACAAATGATTCCATAAGTAATAACTGGAATTCGCTACCTAATAACGGAGACATTGAGAATGGCCATAATACCGCTTTCTCCTCTATTAAACTTCTTTCGCGGTGAAAATCTACTCAAGGGCACTCGTCTGAAATCATATCGAATATTTTTTTCAAAATTCAGGGCAATATAGCGTGGATGGTTTTCGGAAGCCCTTATTATTAATATTGTTATTATTTGGCGAGAAGTGGAGCAAAGTTGCACAGAGTCGACGGCGAGGATTGCAAATAGCAAACATCAGCATTCGAGCTCGGCTCGGGGAGTTTTCCGGCGGTCGACTCTTGTGGGATTCTTCTGCGGGGTCACCTCGTAGGCGGCGAGCTGCTCAGGAACGCCATTGTGCCCCGCTAATTAAGACACGGGGCGTTGTTCCTGCCGCGCGCTCGTGCGCGCTTTATGGATCGCGTTGTTAACGGCGTTACTACTCGCGAGACGAGGTGCCTTTACAGCAGAACAGCCCGGCGAGCCGTCCTCCGGTGTCGTCGACGGGGCCTGCTTGGTATTCCGCTCCGGTCCCGGGGCATAATTGGACGCCAACTGGCGACGCGCTCCTCCGGGTATCGCGAAGACAAGAAATTATTCTTTAATTAATTGTCAGCGCTCAATGTGGCCGCATGCGTAGGATCGGCCGGCCTGGCACATAAATTTCATCTATATGGGAGCGCCGACTGAGGTCGTGCCGTAACGGCGGCGGCCGGGAGAGGCTTTAGGGAACGCGGCGGGGGAGGGGGGGGGGTTCGTTCCGAACGGCTTCCGATGTATACGCGAATATCTGGCGCCTGTTTGCGAGGCCTTTAACGGCCACGCGAATCGTCGCTCTGCAAGGATCTTTCCTCGCGCTTCGCTATTGGCGGCCTCGCGTCCTTTGGCAGTGTCCGCGAGGACTCTCCTCGGCCGGTCCGTTTTCGGAAATTTCAGGCTCACTTGGGAAGCCGCAAATTTGCGAAGCCGAATACTCTCATCGTTCGTTGGTTCAGATTGAAAGGATATACCGCGACGAAGGCTGCTTTCTCTTTCTCTCTGTCTCTCTCTCTCTCTCTCTCTCTCTCTCTCTCTCTCTCTCTCTCATCTCCGATTTCACTAACGTATTTCCCCCCGCTAATTCGTCTCACCATCGCGACCGCGCACTTTGGTACCTCGCGAATTTTTACCTGCGAATTTTTCCCCGCCACGAAAATAACGACACCGCGGGACGGCTTCGTCGGGATAAATCGAACGTTGATCACTAACAATCGCATCACGGTGGAAACGTCACTCGTTCGCCCGAGATGCGAGAATGACGCGGCGATTACGGCGAAGATTACGTCGCGAGACCATCTCTCTCTTGATCCCTCTGTCTTTCTCGCAGCGAAGAAACGAGCTGCAGGCGCCTATGGCCACACACCGCAAAGCGAGACAGGTGCACGTACAAATATGATAACGACAAACGAGAGAGCGCCGTAGATACGTGTCGGTGTTCGCTCCGAATATATATTTTATAATTAGCCACGGCTTGCCCCCCTCCATCTCCTCTCTCTCTCTCTCTCTCTCTCTCTCTCTCTCTCTCTCTCTCTCTCTCTTTCTCTCTCTCTCGCTCTCTCTCTCTCTCTCTCTCTCTGCTCGATAAATCAGCGCGCCGCCCCGGCTTAAGACTTAATTAAAAATTTAGTCAAAAACCAATTAGCAGCCACGGCGGATTAACATATTTCTAATTATCTGGCGAACACTTTCGGCCGCCTTATACCACCGGATCGACTACTTGCCATATATGAAGCCGCTCGCCGATGACTGTGCGATACATTCGATTGCGCCGGGCAACCCCCCTGTGGGTCCCCCCTCCTCCTCTCTCTTCGTCCTGATTCTATATGATGCCTTATTTGGGGAGAGGGTTACGCCCGCGATCAATTGGGTCACGGTATTATTTGCAAATTTACGGAGGGCCGCCGTCGAGAGCGACCGCTCACTGCGTTAACGTTAACCCTTTGCTGCATAGTGGTCCTCCCAGAGTGCCACCTATCATCCAAGCTTGTTTTTCCAATGATTTAAATTTTTCACATATTTCTTTAGCATATTTGCTACTGGGCTACTAAAATGTTCCTCCAACTAATACATCAACTTTTAGCGCCATTTCAAATAAGTAATTTGTTATTAATACACAGAGAGAACGATTTAATTGAATTTAACAAATGCTTATTTGGAATAGTCCGAATAAATTTTTTGATTGATCGAACGAAGTTTTGTTTGACGCAACAAAAATATTTTGTCGCAGCTTAGTTCCAACGAAATGTTTTTGTTGCGTCAAACAAAATTTTGTTCGATCAATCAAAAAATTTATTTCGACTATTCCAAATAAGCATTTGTTAGATTCAACTAAATCGTTCTCTCTGTGCATAAGCATATACTTGCTTTGCTTGAAACTTGTTATTCGGGGGTTTTTAAAGTCGCTACGAATACGAATCCGGTATGAAAAATAAAAATTCAAAATGACAGATCTTATATGGCAAACATAATTATAGAAATGAAACAATTCAATTTGAAAATGTTAATGTCAACCAAACCCTGCCGTACACATCCGTCATAGCTCTGGCATTTCGAATTTTCGATGACGAATTTGTAATTAGCAACCACGAAAATAACCCTTAAATAACAAATTTCAAGCGAATTCGATTGATTTTGAAAATTCCACCCGCCATATTGGATCCGCCAGTTCGAATTTCGTATTTTTCATATCGGATTTGTATTCAGCGACCCTAAAAATTCCCGAGTAACAAGTTTCACAAAATTATATTCATTAGAAAAAAACGTGCAACAAAGGGTTAATCCTCTTTAGCCGGTGTCTCGGGGAAAGTTATTGCTTCCCCTCCCCTATTTTTCTTTTTTTTCTTTTTGGAACGATCCACCGCCGCATGATTGGTACGAGCGCGTCGGGGGGTTGAAAAGATCGACGGGACTGGTAAATACTGAAATCATTTTTATTTCGCTATAATATATATATATATATATATATATTAAATATATATATATTATATATATATATATATATATACTTCCATGGATAAATTATCATCTTACATTTATACAGGGCGCGTAGGTACGTTGAGAACCTCGCCGTATTCGTATTAGCTTCGACTGCCTACGAACGATTCCGTTTTTCTCCTTCTCTCTCTCTCTCTCTCTCTCTCTCTCTTTCTCGCTCGTTACAAGCTGACACGTAATTTACACGCACTCCCGCCTCGTTTGCGCCGCGCGCGGAGAATTCGGCAAGTCTGAAGGGACGCCCGGGCCGAGTGAGTTACGGAATACGCTTCGAGAGGAAGACCAGAGCAGAGCTCGTCCTTTTCGCGCACGACGACCACTGAAGGAACGCTCGACATTACTCGGCCGAATCTCACTGCGCGATTTACCTTCCGCCTCGAAAGAATCAAAATGATATTTTCGGGGAACACAAACGCGATCATCTCTCGATTTAGCAGCCGGACAATTGTTCCCAGGGGAAACGACTATTTTCCTACATTCTTCCGACGTCCGCGTTCTCCTCCGGCCGGTCCGTATTGAAAATAAATCCGGGAGCGGAGACTCCCTCTTTCGTGCCGGGTCTCCCCGACTCCTTCAGATCGACACCCTCGAGCACACTCGCCGCCCCCTCGCGATTCCTCCTGACCGCCGTCGGTCGAACTGCAACGTCCTGTACATGTGTGTATATACATACGTACACCCATAATTACCGTACGAACGCGTACCTTATTTACACTATGTACATTTCTATGTGTTCTCTTGAGATCAAAGCGTCGGGAGCGCCCGCCGCAGGCGCCGACACGTGTCCTTCCGTGTCCTTTCGGGAAAGTTATGACGATGCTCCTAGAGTTACAGATCTCCGATAGCTCCTCCTCAGGATCCTCCTGCCCTCCAACCGTGTTGGAATTTCGATTATCCGTACATCGCGGGCGATAAGGCGTCCGGGTTAACGCGCGAGCCGAGCCGTTTCCCAGCCGTTTCCAGCCAATTTCGACTCTTTCAACGCTAAACGGCGGATTCCAATTCCTCGGCGATCCCGTGGAAGACCCGACAACCGGTCGGAGGTTGGACTAATAAGAGCGGACAATCCTCTCTTCGAAATAGAAATAAGAAGGTCACTCGCGGGGATAACTATCGCCTCAACTGTGCGCGGTGTGGCTTATGGATCGCGTCCTCTTCAGCAGGACCTTGGACCTCGAAGCTGCCTCGACCTTCGAAACTTGGGCTTTCTTCTCGTAAGTTCCCGAATCCTCGAGTCCTCCGGTCGTATCCTTGGCTCCTCCTTAACGCCTCCTGAAGTTTCGCTCGCTAGCTCTTCAAGTCCCTCTCGAGCCACCGAGACCACCTCGATCTCCTCTCTCGGATTCTCTCGGATTGCTCCTGCGGGCTCACGAACCCCGCATCAACAGAGTCTGGCTCGGCAAACGGCTAGCCGGCTCGTCACGCGACGACGTCGATGATGTCTCGTGTCATTATTAAGGCCGGTGTCCAGGCGGCCCCATGAACATGGCCGCCGCCGCCGCGGCGTGAGTGTGCCTGGCCATGGCGGCCGCGATGAAGGGCGGCACCCCCGGGGTGCCGGGCGGACCCACTCCGGAGAACATGAGTCCTGAGCCAAAACTCGGGTGCAGCAACGGTCTCGCGGACAGTCGCAGCTTCTCTATCTCCGCCTCCTGCAGCCGCTTCGCCTTGGCCCGTCGGTTTTGAAACCAGATCTTCACCTGGAACACAAGGCCGATGTGACGGGTCAGGTCGACAGTAGCGATCATCGCTACTTCCCCTCTCCCTCCATCCCCGCAGCGCGATTGCACGCTTCCCTCACAGCACGTCGTTCGGTGAACCCAGCTCGACTCGAAGAGTCAAGCAGGGTCTACAACAAAAGTCGTAAAGTCCTAAAGTTGCAAAGTAAGAAAATTGACCAATCGCAGTCAATTATTCTCCTTGCAATCGAAGAATGATCAATTGTGACTGGCCAATTTTTTTACGACCTTGCGACTTTTAGGATTTTACGACTTCTATTGTAGATCCCGTTTTAAGATTCATGAAATCCCGCCGACGCGCCAATTATATCCCGTAACAGCGGCCGTTTAACGAATATTGCGCAACCGTATTCCGTCACCGTCGGCCGTCGACGTCGTGTTAAAGGTCACTCTACAATATGTGTTGTAAGCTGTAAGCTGTAAGAACTGACCAATTATAGCCGATTATTTTTGTAATAATCGACTGTGATTTACCAATTCTTACGGCTTACAACTTACGACACGTATTGTAGAATGACCTTAAACGCCGAACGTGGATTTACCATCGGCAAACATGAGCGCGACATCGTCGATTCACGTAGCGCGCGCCTGCGCGCCGAGAAGGCGCGGCAAATAAAAACAATCGTGCGTGCGTGCATGATTTTAGCGTGTCATTAGGCTCGCGTTAGTGCGGTGCGTTGACGTACGCGATGAGGATTATCGACGTGTCGAGAGAGCCGGCGAGATAACGGGTCTGCTTAGCGCGCGGCCGGACTAAACGCTAAATCGCGTTTAATTGTTATTTGCACAGTCGTTCGCGAATTCCGCCGCTTGCGCAGCTGTCACTCTGAATCGCTGGCTAATTTGCGACGCTTGGCGCTTCGGCCGCGAGGAGGAGCTGCTGCCGGGTGCTCGTGTTACGAAATCGCTCCGGCCCGATAGAGTTTTTAATCGGCTTAGTCTCGGTCTATAATAGGTAATTTAAGCTTTAAGCTATAAGAAATTAACCAATTACAGTTGAATGTAAGGAAAATAATCGATTGCCGTTGGTTAATTTTTTATGGTTTAAAGCTTAAATCACCATTGCAGACTCGGTCTAAGTTAGACCCGAGTTTGACTCGGGGTAAGATTTATTACTTTCAGGTCTGCCATTTTTAATCCGTCATTTTGAATTTTGCAACAATAACCTCAAATTTGAAATCAGCACATTGAAAAACTATTATGAAACATAAAAGTAAATATTTTCCTCCGCAGAAAAAATTGAACCATTTTGATACCAATTTCTGCCAATAAATAGAACCGCAAGAGGGTTAACGAGCAGTTGTTTCGAAAATGCGCGCGCATGACCACCTCGATATGCGGTGATTATCATGATGCTCTCTACGCGCGACGCCAATCGCCGCGGTCCTCTGTTGGGTATTTCGATGAATTTTGAGGGTTGAACGATGAATGGATATTTTGTTTGTTCTTATTATTATTTTAATTATTTCGATGGGATATTATTTTAATTATTTCGATTTTCCACCGTGCTTGCTACAACCTTTTTCATCTTTCTGGCAATAAGCGAAAAATCATTATATATGATTATATACAAATATATCTCTATATGGCCATGTACAGGGTGTGTCAAAAGGTAAGATCAACCAACTAGAAAGTGAAAGAAAAGCTCGAGTAGAATACATAATGTATGTAAACTTTTTTTGTATTTTCTGTTTATACGGGTGTATAGAAAATGTTGAGAACTCTTAATATGTCGAAAAATAAGTATTTCCGAAGAAAATGTTCCGTGCAAAAGGTGTGTATGATTTGAAGCGACGCATTACACAACAAAAGTAGTATAACCTGGAGTGACGTTTACGAGATCACAAAAAGATTTAAAATTTCAGTCATCTTTATATAACTTTGACAAGACTATTCAAGGTCATATTTTACTATGTAATGTATCATCTAAAACCCTACAACTTTTGCATGATGAATATTTTTTTTGGAAATATAAATGATAAATATTCGGTTAAAAATTCGAAAATATAAAAAAATTTAAATAAAAGTCTATACATGTTGTATATTCTATTGAAGCTTCTTTTTTATCTTCTCGTTGATTGACCTTATATAACTTGTATAAACATACGTAATTGTCTACTTGCACTGAAGAAATGATGTTGTACAAATACAATGAAACTGCTCGTGTTTTCGGCAGTCCGTGATGTAGACATATAATTCTTCTTTTCTTCGTTTAACAGCGTTTTTCAATGTGAACGTGCATAATTTGATGTAATTATAAAGATGATCATATAGAGAATAAATTCATACATGGACCACATATATGATATATAATTTATATACAGAGTGCTTTAGAAATTGTTGGCCAAATTTTAAGAGCATATTCCACTCATTGTAAGGATGAAAAAAAGTCACGTAAACATTCGGAAATGCTTCCTTTCCAAGTTATAAACATTTCTTATTTACTTACAGGCTTTAACATTTGAACTGCAAGAACATTTCATTACATAAATTGCTGGAAATGATTTCCTCCCGCATTGATGCATGCCTCGCATCGATGTCGCATGGATTGTCGAAGACGTTCAAAAATTCCCGGAGTATTTCGTACTTTGTCACACGAAACGATAATACGATTTCGGAGTACTTCCACAGTAGCAACAGGAATAAATGAAAATCTTAAGATGTCCCCATAAATAAAAATCCAAAGGGTTTAAATCGGAAGAACGTGCAGACCAAGCGATGGGTCCTCCTCTATCAATCCACCTATTGATGTGATTATTATTCAGGAACTTCTCGAGCAGCGCGGCTGAAATAAAGAATTGTTTATAACTTGGAAAGGAAGCGTTTCCGAACCCATGTTTATATGACTTTTTTTCATTCTTACAATGAGTGAAATATGCTCTTAAAGTTTGGCCAACTATTTCTGAAGCATCCTGTATATAATTATATATAATTTCATATAATTATATATAATTATCTTTGATCGGAGAAACAATAATTATAAAAAGAAAAAAGATTGTATTCATGGAGTGCCTCGCTCTATGTAGAAAATGTTCGCACACGGAAAGATCTCAGTTCGTGCAATTGACTAATGAGAAACCTACAGAAATTTTTCCACAGCTCCGAGTTTTCTATCGCAATTTGGCCCCTGCCCCTCCCAGGTAGCGGAAATAAACGGCTACACAAACGGTATTGCTTTTCCCGCGCGGACTAAAGTTAAACGCGACCAAGCGGATTGTTAAGCGAAACTGTCACCCGTTATATTCGTTATATCGCCCGAGTTATTCCGAAATCCTCTTACAACGTCATCATCGCGACCGACGCGAAAACCAAGAGACATGCGCGCGTAAGCATTTTTCAATCTTATCAAACGTTAAGTTATCCGCTGCACAACAATAACTTCTCTCCTTTTCATCCGATATTAAAAAATAATAAGACATTCAGTTGCATCTCTGTTTGACTCTTTTAGTTTCTAAAATAAAAAAAATATACACCGGGGTGAAATTTCTCGCCCGTGATAGCATTGACGTGAGTTTCTTCCGGTTTGGTGACAGCTCTCGAGGGTTTTAACGAAGTGATAAGTTATTCCATAAGACCATGGAGAACGCGAAGGAGAGACGGACGTCGCGTTCACGGTTCGCGAGTTGAATTGTGGACATACCTCTTTGTCCGTCGGTGAATAATGAGAGGAGGAGCGCCGGGCGGGAGCGAAGGAGCGGTTCAGCGGGTTAAACGACACGTAGGAGAGATCGGTCGGGGTAATCGTAGCTTATCTAAGCAAATGAATGCGACGTAGCTTCATTTCAGGCTGATGCATTGTAACGAATGCGCAAAGTGTATCTTGGCACGCTAACCGGCGCGATAACGGCCTGGCTGTTACACATGTCGCGCGGAGAACGGCGATAGTTCACGCGGAAAGAATCACAGATAATAATGTTTATAATGAGGGAGTAACCGGCACGTGCAATTAAAATTCTCACTCTCTTTCTCTCCCTCCCCCTCCCTCCCTGTCTCTTCGCTCTGTTCCCGCGTATAAAACGAAAAAGCGTAAAGAGCGCCTTTAAGCGCCAGCGCGCAAGTGGCACCTCTCGGCCTCAAGGCAACTGTCATTAACATGTTTGCCGTCGTCTAACAAAATTAATTTAGTAAACGAACCGTGGCGATCTTCATTGATTAAGCACTCGCTGATCCAAGAGTGCTCCGTCGATTGAACGTCAATTTCCGAACGCTAATGTCTTCCTTTCTCGCTCGGTGCGCCTCGCGCTTATCAGATAACGAGCAAACATGTCTCCCTGCCTTTTCGTTTGCGTTACAAACGCGCCAGACTTAACGGGTCGACCGTAAACTCGCTCGCTATGCTCTTCTTAGCTCTCTTGAATGTTCGCATAAAATTCACGATTATTAATCTCTCGCTGTTTACGCCGCTGCGACTCCTCGCGGCTCCCTTCACCGTACCGCCCCCTCCCGTCCCTTCCCTCCCATCGCGCAGCGACGGCCAAAGAGGGTTAATTGCTCGCGAGCCGGGCGTCTCACCTGCGTCTCCGTGAGCTGAAGGGAATTCGAGAACTCGGCTCTCTCGGCTATCGTCAGGTACTGTTTCTCGCGGAACTTTTTCTCCAACGACAACAGCTGCGAGGTCGTGAACGGCGTGCGTGGCTTTCGGTTCGGCTTGTGCTTTCGGAGGGTGCATCTCACCGGGCCTGGTCCGGGTCCCGGCAACCTTAGGTCCCCTGAAACCCAAGAGAGGACACGTGCTCAGCTGAGTCCAGACTCGCCCCGTCCTCGACGCCGAGCGGAGCCGCTCCGGAGGCAGCTTTTCACATTTCAAGAGCAACCGTTCGGCAAATCCCATCTCCAACGAGATGGAGACTTTTAGCTCGGGGGGGGGAATGAAGCGGGTGCTACGTCGGGGTCTATGTGCGATCGTAGGCGAGGCGGACACGACTAGATTGCCTGTGCAATTTTTTCGCCGAGTTTCGGAACGCAACTGTCTTGCGCCATAGGGGAATTTGTATCCCAGAGCAACATAGAATAATAGAAGATATAGAGAAGTATCTCGAGTAATATTTTGTTTGCAAAAGTTTGTCGGATTGCAAATAAGCAGAAGTTACCGCGAGTTGACGGTTTTGTTTTTTCTTTTCACGAAGCTTTATTAATTTAAGATGCTTAATCATGACCTTAAAATTTATGTACGGTACCTCAAGTAACAACATAACCTCATTTTTCTTGGAGATAAAAATGAAATATAAAGTCTACTACTGTATGCTCTTTTGTTTTAATCAGAAATTAAACGCTTACTAATGACCAGACATTAAGCAGTAATCACACTAGCGATTGCCGATTGGATTGCGATTTTGATTGGCGATTACTTTTCAACCAATCAGGGCAAAACTAGCACCGATTGAGATTGGTGATTGAGATTTAGACAATGCTCTATTTTAATCGTCAATCGTCAATCGCAATCGCAATCCAAACGGCAATCGCCAGTGTGATTACGGCTTTAGGCCTGTTGCGAAATCGGTTTCGGAAACTTTGGTTTTAGTTATAAAGTTGGTAAGCTTTAAACTAACTCATATACGTTCCATAATTGATCAGCTGATTTCATACGATTGACTTTACGATCGAAAGGTTCGGTAATCAAGATAACAAATAGAGGACAAGGTGGCGTTATGATCCTTATAAATATCATGGCCCCTTTCAATATCTTCATTATTAGGTAGCGAATTCCAGTAATTATTTATGGAATCATTTGTTTAGTAATTCGCCGTTAATGCAGTGACGTTAATATATCACTACACAATAGCTAATACTTTTTATAATGAATATTTACTTTCGAGCGTAAGGAAATGTTTTTCACGGTACATTTTAGCATTTAATTAGACATGTTTTCTCATTATTTTTAAACTTGAATTATCACACAAATATATGTACAATTGAGCACTTTGTTTGTTACTTGACATTTTATTCGGCTGCATATCTCTCAAATTATGCAAAGATAAATGAAATAACGTGACATTTTGCTAATGTGGTCCTGTAAGAGTGTTCATAAAAATACTGTTTCTTTTTCGAGATTTTTATACCAAAGTAATTATTCGATAAGTCGATTCTAATCTATAGCCCACACTCATGTTACATTCATGTTTGCACCACACTGCTGTCTTTTTGGCGGATTATATTTCCTAATAAATCAATATCCATTTTAAAAATTCGCAATTTTATTCATTATTATTTCCCGTAAGAGTTTAATTTGAATAAATGTATAATTTCATAATTAAACACTTTGTGTTATTTCAAAATCAATTTTTTTTATCACCTTTAGTGAGAGGCCACATTACCATCTTATTTTTTCGCTGACTCATTATGCTATGTTGCCACATTTTTATAAATAACATTTTAAGTAATAAACATGTAAATTTGAGTTTATAATCGATTAAACAACACTGTGACAAATGTAATCGTTCTCACTTTAAAATATTGATTATTGACCAAGTTATTATACAAAATGTGAACAGAGGGCCATATCTAATATACCACCTTTTTCTCTAATAAAAAAACTACCCATTTTTTATCTAATATTGTAAAATTAATAGCTAAAACTGTAAGTTGGTAAACAGAAATAGTACATGGCTGTGAACGTCCAAGTTATGTCCCACTCGCTAACAGAAATAGTTTCACGAAACTAATCGCGTGATCAGCTGACCAATTACGAAATGCATCTAAGTTAGTTTAAGGTCAATCAAGGTCTATCAACTTTACAACTAAAATCAAAATTTCCTAAACCGATTTTGCAACAGGCCTCATCTAATTTTCATTTATTCAGATCGATGCAACACGGTACACAATTTGCTAATGCCGAAGAAGCCCGAAAGTGGGTCCGAAAATCTCATTGTTTAGAAATAGGATTAGACAATTGCTTGAAAGAGCTGGCAATGACGGCCGATATTTTTAAATTAAAATGAATACGTATGGCTTTTTACTGTTAATTGTAAACAGATATCTAAACATCGGACGCGAACTTTTGCAAGCATTCAATACAATAGTCTACCAGAATCTCCAACAGAGTTCTTATACTCTATGGTAGGACATTAGAGAGCAAATTTCCCGTGACACCAGATGGATACATCCCGAAGTTCCGTGTCCACGACTGCACAAAGTGATATGAGGCAAGTTTCCCTCACGGTATGAGGCTAACGTGAAGATAACGTTAAACAGTACAAAAGCGCCCCATTTGAGAACGGCGGGCGTTATACATGAGCGATTCTCTCTCGGCAGAAACGAGCGGCCGATCACTCTGTGGCGCGACGGACGCAAAGGCTTCATCAGAAGATCACTTAATCCTTAACCACTTCGTTGGCATTGAGAAATAGCATCAACTGACCCAAAATGGCAACATATAAATCATGCTTGATTTTTATTAGCGTCGGTATTAAAATGTTTTTCGGATGGCTGATTACGAATTTGAGGTCAAAATATGAAAATTCAAAATGGCGAATCCAAAATGGCGACCAAAAAATGTATCTAATTTTTCATGAAATTCGATATGTAGAAGTTTTCCAAGTTGCTGAATATGAATTTCAAGATTCAAAATGGTAGAACCAATATAGTCAAAAAAAAGAAATTGTTTTGATTATTGCGAAAATATCGATATTTAGAAGTTTTCTAGGTTGCTGAAAACGAATTTGAATTTAAAATTTGAAAATTCAAGACAATATATGTAATATAGCGAATAGATTTTTTTTAGAAATTTAATGAAGAAATATTTTGGATCCACCATTTTGAATTGCCATATTTTGACCTCAAATTTTTATTCAGTCACCTGAAAAACTCCCAGATACCGAGTTTCATAATAATCAAATAGATTTTTATTTTTTAGTGTGCCATTTTGGATCCGTCATTTTGAATTGCCATATTTTGACTTTAAATTCTTATTCAGTCACCTGAAAAACTTCCAGATATCGAGTTTCATAATAATCAGACAGATTTTTAATTTTTTTAGTCCGCTATTTTGGATCCGTCATTTTGAATTGCCATCTTGACTTCAAATTTTTATTCAGTAACCTCGGAAACCTTAGAGTACGAATTTTTACGAAAATCGGATCAGTCAATAAAAAAATAAACGATGTGCGCAAAAGTGCGTCAATGCCAACGAAGTGGTTAAAGACTATCGTGGATGAAATTTCATGCGAATATTGTTTTCACTTAATTAAATGATAAATCTGCTGCGAGCAATTACTCCTCTACTTTTTACACCTGATATCCAATAATAATAAAATATATAATTAATCGCATCTGTGTGTTGGACTCTTTTGACTGCTAAAATGAACAAAAATATATACCGGAAATTGAAATTTCACCCATAATAGCATTGATGAGATTTTCTTTGGTGATAGCTTTTAAGGATTAATATCACGGCACTCGGCCTCGCCGAGCCACTGCCGCAAAAACTGCAGGAGCGACAGATTAAAGCAAGATCGCTCCGCGGCGGTTGCTCCGCTATCGGGCCGTCGCCGGAAAAACAGACTGCAATAATGACTTTCCGCGGGTATTTGTACTCGTACTATTAAAACGCCCGCGCGGGCGCGAGCGGGCGATAATTAACGTCGAATGCGCGAGACGTTAGCCGTTAATTTACGAGCGCGCGACTGCCTGGCGAAACGCGTCCTCCACCATAGGTTTCGCATGATGAAGCGATTATGGCGTGGTCCGCGACGGCGGCGCGTCCACGACGACGGCGACGGCGACGGCGCAAATTAAATCATAAAAAATAAATGGCGCTCGAGAGCGGCCGGCAAGAGAACGGCGTCTAATTATCGGGCCATCGTCCCGTTCTGCGCGCTCGCATCCGGCGCGCATGATTATCATCGGCGTCGTCACTTGTTTACGAGCGGTTCATGTACGCGCAATTAGTTGATACCGCGTAAAGTATCGCCACCTCGTCGCGCGCGCGCGCGGCGTCTCGTCGATGAGGCAGCGTTCTCTCGTATTCCTTGTCGATTCCTTGTCGCCGGATTTTTCACACCGCGGAAATGTACGACGCGCGGCGGAAGAGGCAGGGGAAGGGTGGGAGAGGGGAGGAGGTCGCGTTAGGCAAGAAACTATCGACGTCTGCGTGTCGTGATTTTCTTTTTCAACTAAATCGGAGATAACGGCAGCCGAGCCGCGGAAGTCGCCGGGTTAATCTCGACTGACCGGGATTTGTGACTCAGGTGAGTGCGAAAGTTCTGGCGGGTATCTCGAAGACGCCGCGACTGATCCAGTTTTACGATTGCAGCGATCGCGAAGATACAGGAGGGCGCCTAAAGCAACCGTCTGTTTTGCAAAATAAGAGTTGTGAGAAAGAAGAAAACATCTCCGTGACATAATGATATTACGGTATATCTGCAACAGAATACATCAGCTTCAAGGTAAATTTGTCAAAAAATCGAAGGATGTTAAATCTTCGCGAGACAAATATGAGAAGCGATTGGAAAATTATAAACACGTGGGCATCTCGCGTGAAAGCGCGCGTACAATTATTTAGATTCTTCTCTGTCCCGCCAAAGTAAAGACCCAAAAAAAGTATTCTGTTTGTAAAGTGATTTTTTCCATAGTCTCATATTCTAAGCGAAGCCCTTTACAGAAAAAGGATTCCTCTTTCGATGAAGCAATTAAAGTGAACCGTTCTTCTAAAACTTATTAGACATTATTCTAACTATTTTCCTCTTATTTCAAGAGGATTCCCTCTTATATC